TAGAAAATTGTTGTCATGACAAGTGAATCCTACAAATTGTCTTCTTGAAATATTAGGAGCCATTTGTCCTCAATAATACCAAATTCCTTTCTCTTGGCATTTATGAAAATTAGGTAAACTACAAAACTTACTTGTACTTTCAAATGCTATTTCAAGAAATTTTTCCACAGCCATGATGTAATTTCCTAATAAATTAATGTACTCATAATCAAGGTTTTCAAAAGCGGTTGCGGTCGTCGTAACGGTGGCGGTGGCACAGTTGCGGTTGCGGGGTGTAAAGGCCGTAGCGTAACAGTTGCGATTACCGGAATCGTGAATTTTTTTATTTTTCGCACAATTTGAAAAAAAACTTACTGATATGCACATTTTTTTTCCATGATCATATCTATTGGGTTTTAAAATAAATATTGATCAATTTTTGTAAATTTTTAAGTTTGATCTAATATATTTCATATTTTTAAATCACTATAAATTAAGTTTTTTACATTTTATTTTAATAATTAATGACTTTATATTCTACAAAAAATCAATCACCAACTATTATATATAAGATAAACAATAACAAAAGTAAGAATAAATAAAAGTCTACATATATATATTTTAATCAAGCCAAATAGATAATGACCACACTTATTATTATTATTATTATTATTTTCAAACAATATATAGATAGACACACAAAAACAAAATGGTTGAGTGATAACAGCTGAATAGAATAGCATAGGTCTTACAGCTTCAACAAATCAATAACATGTTCTTCATCTTCCCTCTTCTTTCTCTCTATCTCTTGCTCCTCCATCTTCCCTCTTGTTAGAATTTCCCATCTTACCTTCACCTACTCCACTACACACTCCACTTCACCTACCTCCACTTCACCACACACTCCACTTCACCTAACCCACTATCACCTCCACTACACCTACTACCACACCTCCACTACACCTACTACCACATAGGAATTGTAATTAATCAATCTTGTAATCCATCAATCTTGTAACATCAATCAATAATACATAAATTCTTACACTTATCTTTTAATGTTGTCCATTATATTTTATAACAAATCCTTGGTTCTTGTTTGCTTCCCTAGCTAAATTGATGTTCATCTTCTTTTGTCTTATTATAAACAACTTGCTTTTTGGTGCACAATGTGGTGGTTGTTGAGTATTAAATTGACATTGATCTTCTAGAGAGAGAACTGTTTTTAGAGATAGAAACTCTCAACTTTCCATCATGTCTTCGTTTGCCTTTTCATCAATACCTCTTGAGTCTTTGAGAGACACTTGCCATGCCCTGGCAATAGTAGGTTGTTTCCTGCATGAGTTTATGTAGCAAATAATCTAGATTGAGATATTGAGCCAATATATTTTGACATGGCGATTAGGCTCTGAACTCTTGAAGCACACGCTGAGATCTATTTTAATTTTATTTTTAAAAACTCAAATAGCATACCTAAGGTTGGTAAATTTGATATAATTGAATATTTGACATAAAATACATGTGACATATTTAAAAAATGACATTATAAAAATTTAAAAATATAAGTTTTGCACGTGTTCCCAACATGTGTCCTGTATTTTTTGAAAATTTGCGTGGTCGTGTGCCCATGTTGTGTTGTGTCCATGCTTCTTAGTTGCGGATCCACCATTGTTAACGTTTTTGTGTTGATACTCTTTTTTTTTTTTTCCCGCAATCCCTTTTGCCCGTCTTAGTTGTTTCATTTGTCGCGAGACAGTATATTTCTTGCATGGACTTGGCACTTTCTTGATCTTGCTCGGAACATTTCTAATGTTGTTGTTCTTGTTGCTTCTTATCTTGTTGTTCCCCTTGATTTTTACTTTCGGCATGCCCCTTAACAACTTTCTCGTCTTGAGTGATGCTTGATGTCCCAATGCAGTCAGTAGATTGTTGTTGCTTTAAAATACCTTGACTGGTGCTTCGGTTTGTATATCTCTCAGTGCTCTTTGTTAATCGCAGCAATTGCTTTTGGAAGGAAACCAAAATCAATTGGAGATCTAATATTCGTTGATTTTCGCAATTCCTTTTATCCCCATCTCATTTATTTCATTTACTGCTGGACAGTATATTTCTTGCATGGACTTAGCATTTTCTTGATCTGGCTCAAAACATTTCTTGTGTTGTTGTGCTTCTTGCTTCTTATCCTGTTGTTGAAGAGCCCCTTAATAGCTTTCTCATCTTGAGTGATGCTTGATGCCTTGTAGTCAGTAGATTGCTGTTGTTTTAAAATACCTTGATTGGTGCTTCGGTTCGCATATCTGTCGGTGCTCTTTGGTAATTGGATTGCAGCAATTGCTTCTGGAGGAAGCTAAAATCAATCGGAGATCTAATATTCGCTGATTTGATTTGGTTTCTCCTTTTGCTTGCTAAATTCCTCTTCATTTTTGCTAAGAATCTAGAGAGATCTAGAGAGAGAAAATTTTGTTAGAGAGAGAAGCTCTGAAGTTTGCTTCTCGGCTTTGGTAATCTTTTCTAATTAATACCTCTTGAGTTGTTGAGAGTCACTTGCCACGTGTTGGGAATAGTAAGATGAGAGAACTATCCAAAGTTGATTATTCATTTACCAGGGGCAAGGTGCTCTAAAAGAATAAACCTAATCCGCAAATATTTTATCTCCAATAAATACGTAAAATTATGACTGTGTTTGGTTGTGTTTCCAAACAATGATTCTACACCCATATTCAAATATGATGTTTGGAACCAGTTCTCAAATCACGTTTTCAAAACTCTGCAGAAAACTCTGTCTCCAGCGTGATTTTCAATTTTTTTTTTTTTCAAATTTGGCCTAACCGGTTGTCCCACCGGATGTCCCGTTGGACCTCCCACCGGTCGTCCGACCGGTTGATCGGAATAGTGCAATTTTTTATTTTTTATTTTTTTGCAATTGACATATATTAAATTTTTATATATTCGAAAAAAATATTTTTCGAATTTTTAATTTTTTTTTATGTGTTTTAATAGAATTTTGAGTTGTATATTTGGGTATGAGTTATAAGTTTTTGTATCAAATATCATATATCACATCAAAAATTCTCCACTCAATTCAAAACTCTTTCACCAAATAAATTTTCCACACTCAAATCATTATTCCAAAACTCACAAACTCAAAATACAACTCATACTCTCAAATCATATTTACAAAACTCTACCAAACGCAACCTATATGTTTTGCATGTGTTTCTAACATGCCATATCCTGCATTTTTTGAAAATTTGTGTGGTCGAGTGTTTGTGTTGTGGCGTGTCCGTGCTTTATAGGCAGGGATCCTCCCATGTTAATGTTTTTGTGTTGATACTCATTTTTTTCCGCAATCCCTTTTGTCCCCATCTCATTTGTTTCATTTGCCACTAGGCAGTATATTTCTTGCATGGACTTAGCATTTTCTTGATCTTGCTCGTAGCATTTCTGGCGTTGCCGTTTTTGTTGCTTCTTATCCTGTTGTTCCCCTTGATTTATACTTTTAGCGAGGCTGTTAATAGCTATTTCATCTTGAGTGATGCAGTCAATTGGTTGCTGTTGCTTTAAATTACCTTGACTGGTGCTTCATTTTGCATATCTCTCGATGCTATTTCTTAATTGGATCGCAACAATTGCTTCTGGAAGGAAGCTAAAATCGATTGGAGATGTAATATTCGTTAATTTGATTTGGTTTCTCATTTTGCTTGTTGAATTCCTCCCCATTCTTGCAAGAATCTAGAGAGATATAGAGAGGAAATTTTTTTAGAGAGAGAAACTCTGAAGTTTGCTTCTTGGCTTTGGTAATCTTTTCTAAGTAATACCTCGAGTCATTGAGAGTCACTTGCCACTTGTTGGAAATAGTAGGATGAGAGAACTATCCAAAATTGATTGTTCATTTACTGGGGGCAAGGTGCTCCAAAAGAAGAAACCAAATCAACAAATATTTTTTCTCCAATAAATATATAAAATTATATGTTTTGCATGTGTCTCTAACGTGTTGTGTTCTACATTTTTTGAAAATTTGCATGTCCATGTCGTGTTCGTATTCGTGTCGCGTCACGTGTCTGTGCTTCTTAGACATTGACATTAAGAAGAAGAAATAGATAAGCATACATTGGATTTGTGCATGACACATGACATGAGTGTAGCACGATTCACAAATAATTGATATTTTAGAAGAGAAACAACATTTGCAACATTTGCATTATTGTTAATCCCAGTCTCTTATAATCAGGAGGTCAAGGCTTGATTTCCATCTTTGGGATACGTAGGCAGCTTCACCTTGAAGTTCAGCCATAAACTTTTCCCCGATCAACTTTGTCCATTTCGATCATCTCAGTCATCTTTATCCATCAGCATTTATCATGATCTCCGGCACAGTGCTGTTCAAACTAGGGGCAACTTTCCGTTGCCACGACGGTGCAAAGTTACTCAGAAAAGGGGCAACTTTCCGTTGCTATGAAGTGCCGCATTGTTCTTCAGACTAAGGGCAACTTTCCAGTTGCGAGGATCTGGGGTTGTGCATCTCAGTGACAGATTTTCGGCGTGTCCAATTCTGATCCACATCGAAAATAGTTTTGAAAAGTTTTAATACAAGTTGACTTTGTTCGAATCAATCTTTTTACAACTTAGACCATTTTTGGACCAAAAACGGAAAATTTTCAGTACCATAACTTTCAATTTCGTTGATTTCAAAAAGAGTTCTCCTGCTCTTACATTACAATCAAGGTTGCTTTTTTTTTTTTTTTTTTTTTTTTTTTTTTTTTTTTTTTTCAACTTTTTTTTTTTTTTTTTCAAAAGAAGCAATTCGGAACTGTTATGTAAAGGTACATAACAGGCCGTTACGGCACTATTACGACCGCTATAGTGGCCGCTACGGCCGACACACCAGTAAATTTCAATCATTGCAAAAGAAGCCGTAACGGGTGGCGGTAACCACCACAACCGTTATGTAACGGCGTTACGTAATGGTTGCGGCCACTTTTTAAAACCTTGCTCATAATTATTAGATCAATAATACTGACCTATGATTGCCCCGCAATGCATGTTTGCGTAAGGTTCCTCTCCTGTTAATATCTCCCACATTGTAATGCCAAATGAAAAAACATCAACCTGTCAAAAACCCGAACTATATTGCTGATTTCTTTATGACATCATCACATTACTGAAAATTTCCACGGCAAATAATGACAGGGTTATGCTAACCTTCTCAGAAACCCGGTTGCTGCTCCCATTCAACAATTCTGGTGCCATCCAAGGGAGGGTTCCTCGCACACCACCAGAAACTAGAGTATTGCGTTTGATTCTCGACAGTCCAAAGTCACCAACCTGCTAAGCATAGTTGTTAAATCAAGAATCATATCATGAATCGAATTGAGAATCGTTATGATTCAATACAAACCATAAAAAAATAATATCAGACAATTGTATACGAGGAAAAATAAATTAATTAATTTCAGTATATGTTATTAAAATGTTCTTATATAAGGACATGATTACACCGTCTAATTGGGAAGACATTGCCTTCATATGTAGGTTTAAATCCCACAAATTCTAAAATTATTCAAAACCCATAATATAATCTCTATTGACATTCAAAAAATGTACTTGGGAATCCTATAGAGAGCATAATAATAAAAAGAATTAAGTGAAAAATTTTATTTTAAAACCTAAAATACTTCAAAAGGTGTGTATAATTATTATTCAAAAAAAGTTATAAAAAAAACCAGGTGTGGAACATTGGGTGATGGAGATCACGCGAAGAAGAAAAAGAGCAAATTTAGAATTTCACATGGCGCACCTTTAGGACATCATTGATTGTAGTTCGGAATAACTGAGTCTTTATTTGTATTTATTCCAATTATGGTAGTTTTGAGTACTAAGGGTATTAGAGTAATTTCAATAATTGTTAGACATCGGTTGTATGGGTCATCCATGAGTTTTATTTTGAGTCAAGTTATTAAATGGGTCATTATATGGGTTTTGTTCTGTCTAGAATAATTTCAATGGTCAAAAAGGTCCAAGTTTCTTATTTTGAAGTTGGAGTAGAATTAAAAGTCATCAAAGTTTCCTATTATGATTGAAGTCGAATTGGAAGTCAATAGTCTTAGTTGGTCTAGAATATTAATAGTTGTCAAACATTTAATTTCTAAATTTGAGTTCTAGTCCTTATCAAAGTTGTTAATACCGTACTGGCTTAGGTACCATTTTTTTCATTAGTATGGTACCTACCGGTACCGATATGTTACCGGATAAAATTTCGGATTTATTACAAAAATATTATATATGTATTATAAATATTGGTTAGTAACAAATAATTTAACAATACATATCATGAATTACAAATTTATATGCAAAAGAGGCTTAAAAGCATACTATGTCTGTTAAATAATACAAATTAAGGTACTTCAAAGAGAGTATAGAACACAAGTTTCTACCATTTTAATATTACAAACCACTACACAAGAAAAAAGAAAAAAGAAAGAAAAAAAAAAAGGACCGGTATTTTCCTGGTATTATGTTTTTCATCTGGTACTGGCTGGTATTGGCCGGTACTGTCTGGTATTTTAGGCGAACAAAATTGGACTATGTAGGTACCGTTTTTCTTTTCAAACGATACGTACTAGCCGATACTGGCCGGTACGATATGATATCGATAACATTGGTTCCTATGGAATTAGAAGCGTCTTTAACCTATAAATATATGTGTAATCTCAATGATTCAATAGAAGAATTTATATTGATATTGCGTGTGTGAATGGCCTAACCCTTGTGGGGATGAAGCACCTTTTTCTCTCTTCTTCTCCTTCTCTCCAGCAAAGTTACTGTACACATCACTGATCATAGTGCTTAGAACAGCCACACAACAACCCCTAAACACTTGTGTTTTCATTCCCAAGACCCTACCCTTTTTCAAACCGTTAAACTCCTATTATTTTAATACTTTTGCAGCCACAAAATACAACTAAATCCATCCGTATAAGCCTATTGTTGCCGCTGTCAGTATTTTTATTCGGGCTCATTATTTGTAGGAACGTAATCCTTACTTGTCTTACACCATTGAGTTTAACCTAGAATGTGGATCGTTCCGGTACGGGGAAGGGGAACGGGATACACCACATGTTCTAAAATGTGATACGATAGGAATAGATTTGTGTATATTACACTTACAAATTTAAGATACTTCTACAGTAATTTTCTTTTAACTATTAGGCATCAATAGAATTTAGATTTCTTACTTCATCTAACAAAACATTTCTATGAGCATTATGATCCATTTTTTATGTTCCGTCTTCTCAAAACTTAACTCACTTTAGATTTTAGTTCATTATGTTTAACTTTTTGCTCCTAAGGAAAAATTTAAGGAAATATATTATTAAAAAAAAAATTGGGATTGCTTCAAATCACTAAATTACACTTTTGGAATGAAAGTGTACCATGTTTTGGAACATGCATAAGCATACCAATTGTAATTCATTAGGATGTTAGCATTTTCTAGTAACATATGACTCATATTGAACTATATTTATTAAACCAAAATAACAGTATATATTTTTGGGTACAAGCTACTTTGCTTTAATCTTAAACATCCTTAGAAGATGTGTCGTAATATATTCTTTTGAATATGTTGAGTCTGACTGAATTTGATTGGATCTTATTAAAAACAATATGGTCACCAAAATAACAACAAATCATGAATTAATATTGGTCTTTTCATACTAAACACTCTCACAAGTTAATATAAGAAAAAGAAATAATCGAAGTCTATTAGACACGATAGTTTCAAAAATTGCATGAATTGTAAAAAGTGAATTGAATAGTGAATCGATTGTTCACCATAGATACTATCCCAAAACAGATCACCCATTGATTTGTACTATGCATGAATCGCAAATCAACTCGTGAATTAAATTGTAAATTATAAGATTTGATAACAGGGCTGCTAAGATCTCTAACCATCAATGATATTAGACATAACAAGCTCCACTCCCATGTGAAAATGGACAAAACACATCCCGCAAAATGCCCAGTTTCTGCTACACATATCCAAAATAGTTAGCATATGTTTAGCCCAAACATGCATCCCTTGACAAAGAACAAAAGGGAAACCATTCCTTTTGCTTAATAGTAAATAACATTGTGTTCTTTCTTGGCATTAGGAAGCGTAAATGTTACGTTATAGTATCGATTTCAGCTGACAAGAAATGACATCTTCAAATAGTTTATTACCATTCTGCATAGACTCCAAATTGCTTTATGCTTAAATTGATTTGGAAAACAGAACAGAACAGTTCAATGTTTTAAATTCTTTCTCACTGATCCAAATCATCTTTCCCCAAACTCCATGAAATAAAATAAACAAAATTAGTTTGAACTGAAAAATGCATCATAATAAAATCGACACTACCTAAAATACAGTGGATGCTCTAAAAGTTGCATCTATCTCTACCCTTGCATGGATTAACAACATGCTTGGTTTGTAATTACCTTGCATATGGGTCGTTGTGGATCCCTCAGATTGACTAGCAGGTTGTCACACTTCAGATCAAAATGGACAATATTTTTTGAATGCAAGTATTCCATGCCAAAAGCTGCATCCATGGAAATTCTAAGCTTTCTGTGGCTATCAAGTGATCTGCAATAAGAATCCCAAAATCCCATTAAAGTATTAATAAAATGAACAAGCAAATACACAGGAGAAAAAAAAATTAAATATAAAAAAAAATTAAAAAAAGAAGTGGCTATTTCACCTATCCTTCTTAAGTAGGACATTCCTAAGTGAGCCATTTGCCATAAATTCAGTTACAGTTGCCAAGGTTCCCCCAGCCCCATCTGGTACCACCCCATAAAATGCAAGCACGTTTGGATGATGAAGATTTGAAAGGATTTGTGCCTCTCTCCAAAAGTCTTTGATCTAATACAGGCAAAACAGTCATCAATTTCACACAAAAATTAAAATGACAATTAAGATTTGCAAGCAAGGGAAGAAACACTGAATGCTCCAAAAAGACAAACCAAACCAAACCAATGGCAAAAACAAAAAAGAGCAAGGGACCTACCAATCGTTCTTGCTCTGATGATCTCCCGACAAAGCAGCTATTTTTAATTCTCTTGATAGCAACATCTGTTCCCCGCCATTTCCCGTGATAAACAGTTCCATATGTACCAGATCCTAACTCCCACAGTTCTTCAAGATCAGCATTCTTTATGATCTGGATATCGGCATGAGGAAGTTCAGTTACATATAGTAGCTAAATTTAAGAATTAACGTAAATGGAAGGACCCCAAAATTAATGAGACAAACAGTGAGCTACACACCACATATTTTCAATTGCAACTGAATTCCTAATTGAATTATAGTACCTAATAGAACTGGAATGAGAAACAATGCTCAAATTGTAATCTAGATCTTTGTTATCAAAACTTCCGATTCGTGATTCGATTCGCAATTTTTGCAAAATCGATACGAATCTATGGGTGAATCTATTTTGCATGTGAATCTCTACTGAATCGCACGATTTACAATCGATTCACGAATTAATTCACTTTTACGATTCATGCAATTCTTACAACTATCATGTATGACATATTTCGATTATTTTTCTCCCTTTTTTTAATTAAAATGACATAATACAACTTCTAATAGTGTTTAGTATGAAAATAACCAATACATATACATGATTTGTTGTTTTTTTTTTTTTTTGGATAAAATATACATGATTTGCTGTTATTTTGGAGATCAACGAGTTTTCAATAGGATCCAATCAGATTTCGTTAGACTCAATATGTTTTTAACCTTTTCTTCTCATTTTTTTTTTCTTAAAAGAAATCATAATGTATTCTCTAAAAATGTTTTAGGTTAAAGCAACTTGCAATATGAATTATCTACTACTATTTTATTGAAATAAATATACTTCAATATTACATGGGTGAGGTTAGTTAAACCTAATGGTTCTGTGAGTTTTTTTTTTTTTAAAATACTTTTTTAAACAATAAGCATATATACCTTTTAAAATACTTTAGGTTTTAAAATAAAATATTACAATTAATTCTTTTTTATTATTGGGTCAGTGTTACTTGTAAATGTATGTATGCTTATGAAATATCAACATCTATGTTAAGTTATTATTACTTAGAAATTGAGAGTTTGTCTTTATTTACTTTTTTATTAAGAATGATTGATAAGCAATACCTAAAAAAGAGAAAAGATAAGATGGTGATTTTGCATGGGAACCTGTGTTAGCTTCTTACCTAGACCACATAATCATCATTCAAAACAACATTTTTATTGATTTAAATCTAAATATTTTTTATTTATAAGTTATATTTAACATCCAATTGTGTAGATATATTTTTTTAAATAATTTAGAAAAAGTGACCGAATCTTTACGATTCACGATTTGATTCGATTTGTGATTCGGTACAAGGCCATTTCAATTCATGATTCGATTCATTATTTGACAACTATGGTCTAGATTACGCATAAATGGACAAGTATCTGTTTGTTAATACAAAAATGCTATGCATTGAAATGAAAATTGAACATTGAAGCAAGGTTAAGGGGTAAGAACTGGCAGTTGTGAAGAATGAAACTAAAAAACCAAAAGGGGAAGGGGTACCTAGGTGTTATGAAAGACTGAAAAAGTAAGAACAAACACCTTAGTTTCTATATTCGGCAAAGCTCCCACTCTCGAGTAATGGCAGTTCTAAAGGAAGCTCTACCAACACTCGTATCAAAAACTACTGCTACGCCTCATTAAATCTGGATTTATCCCCAGCTTTATGCATAACGTTCATAAGAATGCTACTCCTAGTTAAAGAAAAAGGACACGACATTTACTAGATGACATCTAACTAGAGTGCAGCTTCATAATTTTGGAAGGATTGACATTTATTATTGTTGAAAGCAATTTTTTATTTGGTTTTTTTCCATCTTTCGTAAATTTTAATCTTTTTTCATCAATTTTTTTATGAAGAAAATTGATAAAAATTTATTAAAGATGAAAAAAGTTAATTTAATTAAGAAAATAGCTTTTAAAGCTTTTTTTTTTCATTTTCAGTAGATATTTTCATAATTTTTGTTCAAATTGAAGAATACTGGAAAAGTTATAAATCCTTTGTTAAAATCCTTGTTCAAGTGGAACTTTTACAGAGTGATTTGAAATCCATTATTATAAAGGTCTCAAATCTATTCTTGATATCTAAATCTAAAATATTACATTGACGTAAAGGCACTCCTCAAATTATTGATGCCAAATCCGTTCATTTCAAACCCATAATCTAAAGGAAGCCTTTCGAGTTATGTTTCATGTATTTTGTTAAAATCCTTGTTCAAGTGGAACTTTTACAGAGTGATTTGAAATCCATTATTATAAAGGTCTCAAATCTATTCTTGATATCTAAATCTAAAATATTACATTGACTTAAAGGCTATACTCCTCAAATTATTGATGTCAAATCCATAATCTGAAGGGAGCCTTAGGTTAAATTTTGCCAAAGATCTATTAAAAAATTAGATGATCCAAAATCTCAAATGACAATCCAGTCAGCCCAAAACGTTTATAAAAGAAAAAAAAAATATATGGGAGACAAATGACAATGCAATCTTCCTAAAGTGTTCAAAATCTTTTTTCAAGGATGACAAATGGCAATCTCAGCAGCCCAAGGTGTTCAAAAAAAATAAAAAAATAAAATTTCAGGGGTAACAAGTGACAAATAATAAATCAAAACATACGTTACATATATGGAAAATAAATAAATAAATAAAAATAAAAAATTCACAGGGTGTTCATGTGAAGACCCTCAAATAGGTGCAACCTCTGTCTAACTATAATTAATTAAATCAAGTTGAATTTCTGCAGGACAAGAAAATCATATGCTATACATTGGGGTGCAAGGTGTGTCTTCTCTATCAGTGACATACTTGGGATGGAGTGGTGGAGCGGGTTCAAACACAGCTGGCAGGGTGGACGCGACAATATTTGTCTAAGAGAGGGAAGTTGACTTTGATCAAGAGCACATTAGGTAGTATATCTACGTATTTCATGTCGGTGCATGTTATTTCGATATCGATGGCCCAGCGGATAAAGAAGTTGCAGCGAGATTTCCTTTGGGGTGGGGTGGGTTGGGTTGGGATGTGTTTAAATTTCATTTGGTGGACTGGAATACGGTTTGTAGTCCAAATGAGAGTGGTGGTATGTGGTTGAGGAAGTTAGTGGTGTTTAATAGGGTGTTGTTGGGGAAATGGTTAAGGCGGTCTGTAGGGGAAGCGGAGCGGCTGCAGCGTCGATTAGTGGTGGCAAAATATAGGATTGGGTGGGGAGGGTGGTGTTTTGGGTAGGTGCGGATTAATCATGGAAGGAGTTTGTGGAAAGATATCTGGCTAATAATGGGGCAGTTTTGGAGGTGGGTTCAGTTTGGCATGGTTAGGGGTGGACGGGTGCATTTCTGGAAGGATTGGTGGTGTGGTGATCAAACTATGGTGACTCGTATTCCGATGTTTCAGATTATGACAAATAAAGATGTAGTGGTGGCGTCGTATTTGTCTTTGTTAGATGGGCGGATGGTGTGGGATGATGTTAGGCTTCGTAGACCGGTTTTTGATTGGGAGGTTGAAAATTTGTTGGATCTAATGGTTTGTTTGTATGGTCTTTGAGAGGTTAGGGTAGGGGAGGATGGTATGTTATGGAGCTACAAACGGGCGAAAGGGGTTTTCTCAGTGTCGTCTTTTTGTTGTGCTCAAGTGGGGTTTATGGATGTTTCTTTCCCGTGGCGGGGTGTGTAGGTTGCAGGGGTGCCATCAAAGGTGGCGTTTTTTTATGTTGAAGGTTGTGCGTGATCGGGTTCTGACCTTGGACAATTTGATTTGTCATGGTTAGATTTTGGTCAATTGGTATTGTATATGTTGTCATTATGCGAAGTTTGTTTCGCATCTTTTGCTTCATTGCCCGGTGGCTTTTGAAATTTGAGGCTTAATTTTCAGAGTGTTTGATTTGGATTAAGTGCAACAGGGAAGTGTCGGTGTAGGGTGAGGAAGAGGCGGCAGAAGGCTTGGACTATAGTGCCTTCGTGCCTAATGTGGTTGGTTTGGTTGGGCGCAATCGTCGGACTTTCCAAGGGTTAAAGGTTTCGGTGCCTTGTTTGAAGAATAGGTTCCTGGGGGTTTTGTTTGGTTGGGTTTCGGGGATAGTGAATCCGGATTTATCTGCTATTGTCAATTTCATTGACTCTTTACACATTTAGATGTAGTTCTGTGGCTATTATTGTTTTAGCATCATCTTGATGCTTCTATTATAATAAAATTTACTCTTTATTTATCAAAATATATATATATATATATATATATATCA